TCGACGAAATGATTGTCGATGAAGTGATTGTCGACGAAGTGATTGTCGACGAAATAATTTTCGACGAAATGAACTTTTCGACGAAATGAACTTTCGATGAAACAAACTTTCGACGAAATGAACTTTCGACGAAATGAACTTTCGACGAAACAAACTTTCGGCGAAATGGGTGTCGACGAAATGATTGTCGACGAAATGATTTTCGACGAAGTAAACGGGACCGGTACTGTACTGAACTTTTCTGAATGTAGTTGGGCTTGATTTATACAGAGCATTCCACTTGTCACATTTTTAGTGGAAGAGACAGTTTTAATAAAGCATGTGGACAAAAAAAATGGAATATGTGACCTAGCTGCTGTTCGCTTTTATTTGTTTAAATTAATAAGTAAATTGATTTATAAAAAAAAAATTTTTAGCAGCACTTAACATTAACACCAATATTAACATTAATGTTAATGTTAAATAACTTTTATACAAAACCATTTTTGTACACAAACTTTCCTTTTTTTCAGAAGTCAATGAAAAAAAAAAATACACAGCAAAATTCCCTTGTTTAAATAAATAATTTTATATATACATATACATTAAAATCTTTTTTTTTTAAAAAAAAAGCAAAAAGATATAATTCAATCATGTGATTAGATATCAATTTCTTCACTATATTTTTGAATTACTTCTTCAGATTTTGTCGTGTATTTCGTATTAACTGTTATTAAAAAAAAACATTAATATCATAATTTTATGAATATTATTTTATATAAATAAAAATTAAAATTCCGGTGAAAAGAATAATATATATATATATATATATATACCTGTTTTATCTGTTGAAACTGTTGAAAATGTAGAAATTGTAGAAATTGTACATCTTGTTGATGAGGAAGTTGTTCTCTTTTTCTTATTAAATCTTCTTAATGTTGCAATCATAGCAGTTACAGTTGTCCGTCCATTAATATTATACTCCCATAACTTGGTTATTTTAGATATCAGAGATTTATGTAAATTTTTTGGAAAACCTTCATACCCATTTTTCAAATGTTCATATAACTGTTCTAGTAAATTATTTGGCAAACTTTCAGGCCCATTTTTAGATCTCAAGTGTTCATATAAATTCTCAATTTTTATTTTTTCATATGGCAAAGCTCCTGTCGCATGAAATATCTCCCAAAGTAACATCCCCAAACTATAATAATCTGATTCAAATGTGCAATTGTACTTTTCATTTTTTAAACGTTGTGGTTCATGCCATCTTTTCCTGACTTGATTTTCAATACTTTTTGGTAAACATGGTTTAACAGTTGTGTGGTTATTCAATGTATCTACACTGTATAAAAAATTGGAAATTTTTGGCTTTAGAAATTCATTCTCATATCCATTTTTAAACAGATATATATTGCTGCTTCTCAAGTCTAAATGCAGAATGTGTTTCTTATAATTTTTAAAAAAGAAATTGGTAGAGAATTAAAGAAATGCTTATATAGTGAGAAAGAATAAAGTTATAAATAGCTTGTAAACTTACCTCATGTAGAAATTCAAGTCCTAAACATATATCTAATGACAAATTTAGTTTGGCATCCAAAGTCAGTTTTTCATTTTCAGGCAAAGTTTGGTTGTTTTTTAAATACTCATACAAATTTCCATAGTTAGCATATTCATAATGAAGTATTGGTTTGAATTTGTCTACAGTGAACCCTAGAAATTTTAAAATATAATCTGATTCATTCAAATTCTGTTCACTATACATATAAATTTCCTTCTCTATGCAATTTATATTATCCTCATCATTAAAACATTCAGGATCTAACTCTTTCCCAAAAACAGGAATATTCCCTTTTAACACTCTATTTTTTATCACTAAAATATCATTAAAGACTTGTTTATATTCATCCTTGTTCTCCCTATCTTCCCCATCACATTCATCATTCATCATAGATGTTTTACTGATTATATACCATTCTTTTAAAGCATTATTCTTCATTAATTTATTATATTGAGAATATTTATTTAAAATCTTGGAACTTGAATCAAGTTTGTTTAAATTTTGTTCAATGCCTTTTCGATCATTTTTTTCCAAACATATTTTTGACTCAGCATAAAATTCATTCAATGCATCAGTTACTTTAATAATTCTAAAACATAAAATAATATATTTATATCAGATATAATTAAAATTGAAATCAAAAGAGTAAATTTCAGTTGGCAATAAATCAATTATATAAATACTTATGAACAACAGGTAGATCACTAAAACAATGAATTGTTCGACTCCTAAATCTGTGTGTCAATTTTACTTTTATATTTTAAAAAAAAATTGTAAATAATTAAAAAAATTTTTTAGCAGAAAATTAAATGATTATTATATTAATTAAATGATTTTTTACATACCATAACAATATCGATAAATCATTGTTAAAAAATAAACATAACCAACAATATACCTTTTTAATATGGTATTTAAGAGCCTTTTTTGTTGACTGTTAAGCCAATTCTGATAAAATGGTGCAAGACCTGCCAAATTTTCACGCATGTTGTGTGTCTCTTTTTTAATATCATCAATGCCAAAATGAGCACAATCAGATGATAATGCATTATTAAGAACATCTATAAGGATGTCATTAACAAAATATATTAATGGAACTGGGTAATTAATATCCATAATTAATGATGACTCTCTAGAATCTGATCTTGAAATAGGTTGTGATGAAAATGGACCATCATATTCACAATTTGGGTAATTGTCATGACCATTATTATTATAGTAACTTTGATTATTGTTGAATGAATGTGTTGAACCAAGTGTAAAATTGCGGGAAGGTTGAATAGAAGGGGGTGGAGAGGTTGGAGGGGTTGGAGAGGTTGGAAGATATGGATGTGGAGAGGATGGTTGATGCAAATGAGAACCATACATAAGAGTTAAATTTCGATTGGATGGATGTGGAGAGTGTGGAGATTGTGGTTCATCTTTAAGTGTATAATCATTATCATTTCGATGCTCACTACATAACCATATGACATTCTGGTTTTTTTTATCTATGCATTGGACTAAGCCTCCGAAATTTTCAGAATTTTGCTTGCTTTTAACAAAACCTATTCAAAACAAAGAATAATTATAATTGTAATTAGTTATGATAAAAATCAAGTATTTTTAGGGAAGACAATTTTATGAATCTACTTACTTGCTAAAGCACGTATTCCAGAAGCATTTAAAACCTGATAATTACTTTCTCTATCACGTTCCAATGGAACTAAATCAGGATTAGTATCATTGATTTCTTTTACTCCAACACCAATTGTATCAATTATCTCTTGAAAATATTGAACAATTTCATCACTGTTGTCAATTTTTACATTAAATATTCCTGAAAGAATATTGCCTATTTCTTGTGGAAATAAATTACTGGTTGCCACACGTAATCCAAATACTAAGGCTTCAATACTAATAATAATAATTTATTTATTAGTCAATTTTAAAGAAATATATTTTTTGTAGTTAATTTAATTAAAATTTTTTACCATAATTGTATC